CTACAAAGAAAGTCACACATCCGCTCAATTAATATTTGTTGAGTGAGTGAGTGGATGCCAACCCTTTGCGGACCAGGAAGGCCTGACACAGTTTAAGAGTGGCAGTTCAGAATGATGATGCCAACACCGTAGGAAGCTGTTTCTCTGATGTTATCTTGACCAGTTGTCTTAGCCACCTGCCAAGGTGGCTGGGAACTATTGCCTTCATGCTACAGGTGAACCATCTGAGGCTTCAGAGAATGCATGACTTTTGCCCAATGTGCCCACTCCCACGGTCAGACCCAGGGCCTGTCCCTGTATCTCTTCATCCTCGGGTTGTGTTCTTTCCATCACTCACGCCTGGCTCTTGTCAGTGTGCTGCCTGTCACTTGAGTAAAGAGTTGCTTTGGAAGGTGCCCACGTGATGTGGGACTAACTGCGGCCCTCCTGGCCATGGTGATTCTGGCCCATCAGAAGATGTGGGACCCGATTCCAACTCCAAAAGAGACCTGGGCCATCAGTGGGCAACCTGAAGCTGGCTGGGACTTCTGAACAGTATGAATGAGTTCTGTAACAAAAACTATGATACCACTAACAGAGACTCTTCTCCTTGCTCTGGCGAGGCAAAGCCAGCCAGGGGAAGGGTAGCCCAGGCTTCCAAATGGAATTCAGCCAGGAGTCCACTGAAGCACACAGGCCTTTTCTCCAGGCAGTTGGCATCACTAGAGTTCATTAATTGGGAGCACATAGAATGGGTGTGGTGCTTTCCCACACCCTTGAGGGCCTTTAACATCCCAGTTTCTGATCTTACAATTTCACAATCAGCTTGGAACATTTCCCTTAAGAAAAGTTGTTTTTGTAAACTCCCACATCAAAGGTAGAAATATAGATTTTTATTTTTGCAGGTGCAAGGGGTGTATTAAGTTATAACCATAACAGTGAACTTCAAACGTAAGTGTAAGGATCACTGGGGAGAGGAGGCGGCAGTGGTTATGAGCTCGCAATCTGAAGCTAGACTGGTCGGTTGTGTTTGACTCCTGATTCTCCACTTTCTAGTTACATGCCTTTTGGAAAGTTTCTTGATCCACCAACACCTCAGTTTACTCTGTAAGATGGGGATGATAATAGTACCTAGTCACAGATCATACTGAGGGTTCAATGAGTTAGTTTTATGTAAAGCATCTGGAATTGTTCCTGTACCAAATATTCTATAAGGAAAAACTACTACTATTGGCAATAGTATTATTTGTATAGCTGCCTAACTTGTTAAAAGTGCTAAGTCCAGAGTCATACCCAGTTTCTGTTTCACTGGGTCTGTAGTGGGGCTTGAACATTCCAAAGCCCCTCAAGAGATTTGGATGCAATAGAACTAAGGGATCCTTTGAGAAATTGGTCTATCAAAGCAAAAATGGGCATCTAGTGTCAAAGTAGGAAGTACAACAGAGAGAAAACCGAGGGCAGAGAATAATGTACACTTCCTTGATTCACAGTTTCACTCTTTGGTGTGAATGTGTAGAATGTGTAGAATGGAACCAGTGGGCTCTTGTAATAGATACAAAGATGGTTTCCAAAGAGAGGAATTTAAGTGAACAACAGATTTTTTTCATAATACACAATTATTTTATTGTTTAAAAATCTCCTCTAGTAGGTTCTTTTATTGAGAAAAAATTCACATACCACAAAATTCAATGGGAAAACACACAATTCAATAGCATATAGAATATTCACAAAGTTGTACATCATCACCACTTTCCAATTTCAGATTTTCATCACTCCCTATTCCTTCCACGGTTGCAGCTCCTGGAACCACTAACCTACTTTCTATTTCTCTGGATTTGCCTCATCCTGATATTTCATTTAAAACACATGATCCTTGTGACCGGAGTCTTTCACTTCATGTTTTTAAGGTTCATCAATATTGTAGCCTTGTTGTGTTTTATTCTTCTTATAACTGAATAATATTCCTTTTATATATGCACTGCATTTTATTTATCCACTCATCTGTCTTCATCCATTGATAGACATTTGGGCTTTTCCAATTTTGGGCTATTATAAATAATGTTTCAATGAAATCCATGTATATTTATTTGTGTAGACCTATGTTGAATTTCTCTTGATTACAGGACTAGGAGTAGAATTTCTGGAGCATCTGGGACTTCTATGTCAAATTTTTGAAGAATTGCCAAAACATTTTCCAAAGTAGCTGCACCTTTTCATATTCCTTCCAGCAATGTATGAGAGTTATAATTTCTACACATGCTCACCATCATGGTATTGTCTCTATCATCTGCCTCTTATCTTAGCCATCCTGTTATTGTGAAGTGGTGTCTTATTGTGATATATTCCCATTTCCTTAGCAACTAGTGATGTTGAGCATCATTTCATATGCTTATTGACCATTTGTGGATCTTGTTAGGAGAAATGTCTATTTATCTTTTTGCCTGTTTTTAAATTAGTTTTTCTATTGCTGAGTTGTTTGAGTTCTTTATGTATTGTGGATATTAAATCCTTATCAGATTTACAAATATTTTTCTCTCATTCTGTGGGTATTCTTTTCATTTTCTTCATTTTGTCCCGTGAAGCACCGAACTTTCCAGTTTTGATAAAGTCCGTTTTATCTATTTTTTTCTCTTTGGTTACTTTTGCTTTTGGTGGCATGGCTAAGAAACCATTGCCAATTCAAAATTAATGAAAATTTATGTCTACATTTTCTCCTAAGAGTTAGCTCTTATATATGGGTCTTTGGTCCATTTTGAGTTAATTTTGTATATAATGTGAAGTAAGAACCAACTTCACTCTTGTAGGTATTATTTTGATCTTTATGTTTTGCAAGTTTTTGGAAATATGCACACAAAGAAAATGAACAAATCAAGATATATGGCTTGCTGATTTTTCACAAAGAGCCCACTTGTGTCCCCAGCCCCCGGATCAGGAACCAAGCAGTAACAGGCTTAGAGACACTCATGATCCCTTCCAGCCACTGTCCCCTACAAGGGACTCCACTATCTTGACTTTTAACTCAGAGTTTTGTCTGTTTGGGGACTTTATAAAAATGAAATTATATAGCATGTATTTTTTTGTGCCTGGTTTTCTATTTTTTCACTAAGCATTGTTCGTGAGACTCATGGTGTTTCATGTAGTTAGAATTCATTTATTCTCACTGGTATATAGGAGATATATATAAATTCTGTTGTTGATACTAATTTACATTCCCATTAAAAGTGAATGAGAGTTCGAGTTACTCCATATCTTTACCCAAACTGAGTATCATCTGTCCTTTTCCTTTTTGACCCTCAACTGGGTGAGTGGTGCTGTAACATTGGGATTTTTCAATTTGCAGTTCTTCCTTAGTCCTTTTAGGCTGCCATAACAAAATGCCATAAACTGGGCAGTTTATCAACAACGGAAGTCACAGTTTATCACAGTTCTGGAGTGTGGGAGTCGAGGATCAAGGTGATTCAGTGTCTGGGGAAGGCCAGCTCTCTGGTTACTTATAGAACCTTCTTGATATGTCCTCTTATGATGGAAAGGAAATGTTTTAGTCAGGATTTTTCACTGCTGTGACTAAAAGACCTGACCAGAACAATTATAGAGCAGGAAAAGTTTATTTGGGGGCTAACAGTTCAGAAGTCCCAGTCCATAGAAATCTGGCTCTCTTCCTCAGGGCTTGGGATGAGGCGGAACGTATGGCGTAAGAGTGTGATGGAGGGAAACAGCTCACATTAGGAAGCAGAGAGAGACTCACCAGATACAAAATATATACCCCAAAGCTACACCCCCAATGACTGACCTCCAGCCACACCCTCCCTGTCTTCAGATGCCATTCAATTAATTCTATCATGGGATTAATTCACTGATTTGGTTAAGGCTTTCTTGCAATGTCTCACACATGAGCTTTTGGGGGACATGTCACATCTAGACCCTAACAGGGAGTGTTCTCTCTCAGTCCCTTGTAAGGGCACTAATGCCAGGCATGGGGATTCTGCCTCCATATTCTGATCACCTCCCCTCTACCTCCTGCTGCTTTGGGAGTAAAGATTTCAATGTAAATTTTTAGTGAGACAAATTCAGATCATTTATTGGCTATTTGGATATTCTCTTTATTAACATATGCTATTTATTTTTAATCTCTTAGTTCTGGTTTTTTTTATATTTTTATTGCATCTCTTATCATCTATACATCATATTTTCCCTCTGTTTCCTTGCTACTGAGAGATTCTCTTTCCCTCTGTCTTCTAATTAATTTATGATATTCTGTCCTTTCAGGAAACCCATGACAATATTCATTAGGAAACACAGAATAAATGAAGATTTTTCTTTTAGGCTAAGGAAGATTCCCTTGATAAGCAGACAGAATAGTGTAGGGAGAAAACTGGAGTGTATGCTGAGATCCCCCTTTCCTTAGGCAGTCACATCACCTCTGTTCAGTCTGGGCTAATACATTTCACACTGTGACATTTGCCTGTCTTCTCCAGTTGCTTCATGTTTGTATGTTCTGTGCACCCTGACTACCAGTATTTTTTTCAAGTACTATCTTCTCCTTTATATATGCACCCTTCGCTTTGCCCTAAACAAACCTGAATGCAATGGGACCACAGCAAACCTAAGAACTTTGAATGTGGAATTTCATGTTGAAGGCACAGGGCTGACTCTCTCCTGTCATTGACCATGCTTTTTAAGTTTGAGGAAGCTGTGACAGAGAAATGTGCATCCTGCTGTCACTTTCCAACCCTTCCTGTCATCAGGGCTTTGGGTTCCCAGGCTAGGATATGACCTATTTAGAACACTTTGTTAACCCTTCCCAACAAGCCTACAGAGAAGCATGTTTTATAAAGGTAAGAGCAAATATCTATCCCCTTTCTAACACAGATGTGGTTTCTTCCTGAGAACCTAGCAAAAGAAATCGACTAAAATTATTTCAAAATTATTTTCACACACTGAATAGCCCAGCAACATAAGGTGATATAAATAAGATACAACAGAAAATCCAATGAAGGGAATCTTATTATTTAAATACTTACTTGAAAGATATTAATATGTGGTGAAATCTACTCATCCATTCACCCTCCTATGTCAGGCAGGCTGGTACCATTGCCTGGACCACTGGGCGATTCTGTAATAACCTAAAATAAAAGGGAACTTTCTCAGAATGGGAATTTAAACTTTTTTTCACAGGTCTCAGGACAACTAACATACTAGATGGGTCCTGGATGCTGGGGAGGGAGGGAGACAGGAGCTATTAGGCAATCTTTAGTTGCCCAAAACACAAGAATTTTAGTGTTAAAGTTGCCAGTTTTAGGGTAGAGGGCTAAGTTCTTGGGATCTGGAAAATAAAATAATATATCACTAAGAATCTCTAAGCCTAACAGGGATGGGAAATAGACTTGATTTACACTTACACTTGACTTACACTTACATTTACAAAGGAGAACTTCTCTGGAAATGAGATCACCATCCATGGGGAATCCTGCCGCGGGTATTCTGGGAAGTGACAGAACCTTAGGGGCTTGGGAAATCTGATTCCAAACTTGAATGTCTCTTCTCCATGCATGTTCTCTCTTCCTGTGGATAAGTATCATATGAATTTCCCCTGTCTTTTAAGGATTATAGGAAAAGATATCTCAAACCAAAGCAGATTAAAAAAACAAAAAAGAAACTCACCATATTAGAGCCCCTGAGGAACTTGGGTCCCACCATGATTGCTAAAACAGTTTTGACTCCTGCAAAGCAGCTAGCTAGAGAAACATTTGGGGTGAGGGATGGGGAGCAGAGTGGCCAGGTGCTGAAGTTGACATTCCTAACTTGTGTAAAGGCCTAGGCTTTACCACTAATAGCTATGTGGTTTGGGGTAAGTTAATTTCTATGAACCGCATTTCTTCTTCTGGAAAACCAAGATAAGGCTACTTACCTCAAAAGCTTGACTTGAAGCACAAGTAAACCATGAACATAAAAGCTCATGATGAATTAGAAGGTGACACATAAAGAGACAATCATTTCTTTGCCTTTTCCCTTAATCCTCAGTAGAAATTCCCTTTCCTTTTCAAACCACCTCCCAGACCCCAATCCCAAACCTGGGGAATCATTTCAGGCATTCAGAAGATAGTCACTTAAATCTTTCTTGTCAAGGTGAACAAAATATTGAATAGATGAGTGGCTTCGGTCCTTTAACAAATAGTAGGTGCCTATTCAGTTTCAGGTATTAATTTATGTGATTAAGTCTTAGTAAGTACCAAAGAAACAGCTGTGAACATAACAGACATAAATCCACATCCTCTTGGAGCTTCCACGGCAGAGAGAGGAGAGACCCTGACCATATAAATCCTTAAACACAGAAGAGACTGACTGGTGGTTTGTGCTACAAGGAAAGGAGTGTGGGCTAGGAGAGCAAGAAGAGGCTGGGTGGGGCTAGGCTCTCAAGTGATGAGTTGGGGTCTTCCTCTGAGCCCCAATCAATTCCAAAGGGTGGATTTTGGGGGGGATGAAATTCACTTTCCAAGTTCCTCTCTAAAAAGATGTCATTTTCCTCCCAACTCAGCCATCACTCTGGTCCCAGACACACAGCAGCCAGGTCTTGGGTCAGAAGCCAGACAACAGCTGTAAGGGACAGCAGTGACCGGCTGGGCAGACGAAATGAGACCCATGGGTGGCGCTCCAGGTCACCACCCTGGAAATTAGATCACCTTGGGAAAGATTTTTCACCTTAGCTGTGTCTAAAAAACCCTGCATTATGTTTCCTTGAATAGAATTGGACAGAGCCCAGTTTCATGCTCTTCAAAGCCCTTCCCTGTTTGTATTGTATGAATGACACATTCCTGTCTGAACTCAGCTAGACTAGTAGCCGCTGATTTCCTAGCAACGATTCCTGAATGATTATTGCATGGAATTCAATTAATACTGGCACAGAAATACACGTTTATATTTTATTTTTTAAAATTTCACAATTCTTTCTCCATGTCTCCCTGCTACTCAATCTCCGTGTTGACCATCCTTGACCAAGCTCATAGGAAGCCCCCCTTCTTCAGAAGCTGCAGGGTGGTGTTGTTGAAAGTACTCTACATAAATAATAGTCACCACGGCTTACACTGATGTAGAGCTACCACCGGCTCTTTCTTGTCTTTATAGAATCATCAATTTTCTACCTCATAATAACGATAGTGGACTAACCTACAGAAAATGATTTAAATCACATAGATCCAGTATAAAAACAAACAAACAAACAAAAACCCTTGTAAAACTGTCTGGTCGCAGATGACAAATAACTTGTATCTTGTACCCAATCCCAAATGAGTGGTCTGTGAGGGAGGCTCAGGTAACCAGCTGGGAAGAGAAGTGGAGAGTGATTGATTACTAATGTCTGCTATAGAGGACCTATAGGGAAGGGACACACCTCTGGGGTATTCACCATGCCAAATCTAGTTCTGACTTCTCATTTAACAATGAGGAAATGAATATTTCAAAAGTTAATGTACTGCATCAAGATCATACAGCCAGCAAGAAACAGCTGGATCTGGAACCGGCCCTCTGGATTTCCACTTGAGTATTGTCTAAATACTAATTCCTTTTTTTCTCTCTCAGTCGTAAGGTCTGGAGAGGACTGATTCAATGAGGCAAGGAGAGATTAGAGACCCAGAGCTCTGTATAATGCCTGGCACATGGTTCATGGTCACCAGCTGCTCCCATGGTCCCAGCCCAATTCCTGCTCCCTCTGCCCCTCCCCATGGGGCTGCATATCTCAAGATGTTTGGGACCCAGCAGGAAGAATGCAGGGTCCATGCAGAAGTCTAGGATGAGGCCCTGGGCCTGACCTCCTGTTCTAGGCCTGAAGTCACCCCTTCTTTGTGGACCACCCCACCCTCACCACTCTTATCCCATTTTGGACAGGCTCAATCTCATGATGGCATGCACAGTATTGCTTTTATTTTTCTCTCAGAGTGATATTGACATAAATTGCATTTATTTCTATTTTAAAACTTAGTCTTTCCAGAAAACTTATTTATTTTGTCTGAAAAGACATTCACATGTGGATGTGACCAGAAGTGTTTTATCAAGAGATTGTTTTCATTTTTAGAAAATGAAATAAAGCCTGGATTGACTGATTTATTTACCTTTGGATCAGGAGCTGGTCTCATGACCTTTGTGCTGGTCACCTCCTCCTCCTGAGATGCTCTGCTTCCTCACTCCATCAGCCCAGTGCTTCCCTCAGGTGTTTCAAGTCCTCTTTCGACTCCGGGTGAGAAGAAGATTTGTTTAGTTCAATAATATTCAAGAGACTACCTAGTGTCAGGCATTGAGTGTGGCATTCAGGATCCAAAACTGAATACAGTGAGGGTCTGCTTTGGGGAAATGTAACCTGATCTTACAAAGAGCATATACAATGAGCCAAAGAAACAATGCTAAGCCTGGCACGTTATTATTAATCTATCTCATTTAATCCTCACTGTGAACCTACTCTTCTTGTGGTCATGGACTCTACTCTCTACTCTGTCCTCAGCATCCAGAGCAGTGCCTGACACGTGGCACCTGGGAAACATTCAACTGGCTGGATATCAATTCTTTGTAACCAACCTGCAAGGTAGTCCCCACTTTCCACTTTAACAAATGACTATCTAAGGATGATGGGAGCCAAGCAACCTTTCTAGAAGTCTCACAATTCTAAGGACTTAGGTAATTTCTTCCCAAATCCTTTGCTTTTGCTCCTCTATAGCACCATGGGTCACTGTACTTTTCTGGACTCTGTTTTCTTATCTCGACATTCAGATGCACAGGCTGCATGATCCCATGGTCCATTCAAAGTCAAAATGTCATAACCAACACCCCAAGTTGGTAGTGAACCACATACTCCCATTTTTCCTGGGAGAGTTTTTATGTGTTTTTTTTTTCAAAATGTATATCTCCAGCAATCATTGTAGTATACCAGCCTTTGAGATTAATCTTTCATTTTGTAAATTTGTACTACTTCCATATCTGTGTTCTGTGCTCAAGGACATCTGAAGCAGTTTGAAAGTTCAGGACTTTCTGCTATTCTACTTCATCCTAGGACTAAGGGACCACATACTTCACATCACCCCAAGATTTTTTCTGTTTAATCTCAAGGACAGCAATAAGCTTTCAGTGCTCTATGGCAGGCCTCAAATAATCTCTTATCTTAAAGTACAGAAAGTATCTTTAAAAATAATCATTGATTTTGAAGGAAAAACGCATAGATTTTAAAATTTTGTGGTATCATACAAAAATCAATTATATTTCTATAAGTTGATAATGAACAATCAAAAAGTGAAGGTAAGAAACAATTCAATTTATAATAGCATCAAAAAGCATGAAATACTTAGAAATAAATTTAACAAAAGAAGTGTAGACTTGTACATTGCCAATTACGAAATATTGTTGAAGAAAAATGAAAGACCTAAATACATGCAAATAAAATCTCATGTTTACAGACTAAATAACTTTATTTGTTAAGATGATCACATTCTAGGGCTGGGGTTGTAGTTCAGTGATAAATCACCTGCCTACCATGTTTGAGGACCTGGGTTCAATCCTCATCACCACATAAGAAATAAACAACAACAATAAAATGATGTTTTTAAAAAGGATGGTCACACTCTATAAATTTTGATCTAAACATTCAACAAAATCCTTATCAATGGATTGGGGTGTAGCTCAGTGGCAGAGTGCTTGCCTAGCATGTGTGAGGCACCATGTAAAAATAAACAAATAAAATAAAGGCATTCTGTCCACCTAAAACTACAAAAAAAAATTTTTAAATCCTTATAAAAATCTGAACTTTTTTTTTCAGAAATTAACAAAGTGACACCTAAATTCTTATGGAAATGCAAAGAACTCAGAATAGCTAATGCTAAAGCCATCTTGAAAAAGAACAAGTTTAGAGGACTTTACACCTGCTTCCAAATTTAAAAATTTATTGCAAAAATACAGTAATCGAGACAGTGTGGTATTCCATGGATTTATGTATCTTTCCTTTCCTAAGGAAAGATTCATAGATCCATGGAATAGAATTAAGAGTACAGAAATAAACTTCATCTTTATGGTCAATTGATTTTGACAAGAGCACCACAACAATCCAGTGAGGGGAAGAATGATGTTTTTAACAAATGGTGCTGGAAAAGATGATAGCCATGTGAGAAGAATGAAGATGGATCCCACCTCACACCATCTACAAAATTTAACTTGAAATGGACCAAAGATCTGGACATAAAGAGTTAACACTAAAAAAACTCTTAGAAAAAAACATAGATCTTATCCTTTATGACCTTTTGGTAATGGTTTCTTAGTTATGACACCAAAAGCACAAAGAAAGGACAAGAAATAGCCAAGTTGGACTTCATCAAAATTGAACAATTTTGTGCTCTAAAGGACTCTATGAAGAAAGTGAAAACTACTGCACAGAAAATATCTACAGATCATCTTACCTGGTAAGGGTTCAGTATCCAGAACTCTTACAACTCAACAATAAAAAAGGCAAATAGCCCAATTTTAAAAAATGAGCAAAGGATTCGAAGAGAATTCTCCAAAGAAGTTATAAAAATGTTTAATGATCATATGAAAAGATGCTCACTGTCATTAGTCACGAGGAAAATGTAAATTTAAAAAAACACTAAAATGCCACTTCACACTATAGGGTGGCTATAATAATAATAATAAAAAAAAAGAAAGACAATAGCAAGTGTTAGGATGTGGAGAACTTGGAACCCTCCTACATCATTGGCAGGAATGTGAAATGGTGCAGCTACTCTGGAAAACAATGTGGCAGTTCCACAAAATGGTCAACATAGAGCTATAATATGTCCTGCAATTCTACTCCTAGGTATATACTAGGAATGAAGACATAGGTCCACCCAAAAACTCTCGCATGAATATTCATAATAGCCGGAAAGGGGAAAGAATCCAAACACCCACCAACTGACTAATGGATAAACAAAATCTGGAATATCCATATGGGATATTATTTGGCAATAAAAAGAAATGGAGTACTGATTCATGCTACAACATAGATGAACCTTGAAAATATGTGCCAAGTAAAAGAATCCAGTCAAGGAAGACCACATAGTTTATGACTCCATTTATAAAATGATGAAATGCTCAAAACAGGCAAATGTGTAGAAACAGAAAGTAGATTAGTGTTTGCCAGCAGCTGAGGGAGTCATGAATGAGGAGAGACTGTTAAATGGATGCAGGTTTTTGTGGAGGAGGGGGGAGAATATTCTAGAATTAGTGATGATGGTTGTGCAACTCTTCTTGCACTTTAAAATGGTAAATAATCAGATATATAAATTATTTCTCCATCATGGTGTTTAAAATGAATTTTGTGTGATCAAAGAAAATTCAATGGGAAGAGGAGAGAGGCTAACTGGATACCCCCAGTGAGGCTTTTGCCCCCAGAAGTTTCCCCATCTCCACTACAGCCAGGTGAACTCACAGAACTCTAATTCCAGAAGGATGCCCAAAGGCCAATGGTTCTTTACCTTCCCTCTGTATCAGATCCACTGGGATATCATCCAGCCTGCTCTACATTAGGCTTTTCCTCTCCTCCCCAAGCATTTATTATCGGACACCGGCTATGTGCTCAGTTCTGCGCTGTGCATTGTAAAGTCACTTTGCATCATTCTCCCCTCAGCGCAACAAACATTTATTTGAACATTTGTAATATGTAAGACATCTGACTGGTTTCCATGCCTTTCTGCTTATTTATATCCCTTTGAGTTTGGATTCTTCCAGAAGTAGACCTTGAGACAGAGATTCAAGTAAACCACTTGGGGAATACTTGTAGCGAAGTAGGGAAGGGACACAGGTAAAGAAAAGAAGCCAGGAAGTGGTGACTATGAAGTCAGCCACTACCATAAGCCAGTAACAATCCTGAGGGGAAACTCCAAAAGATGGAAAACACAGGTCTGAAAAGCTGTTCCACAGAGGGATGAGGGCACTGTGATTTTATATACTATTTCCTGAGTCTTGGTGGAACACCAGAGCTGTGGATGTGCTAATTATGAGGCACTGACTATGCATTTCCTAGTCAGGACAGGGTGGACAGGAGAGCCCTCAGGCACAAGTGTGGAGTCCAGGAACTGGTAATAGGTGGGACTTGTAGCCCAGGGACGAGGGTGGGATGCTGCGAGCAGTAACAGCAGTACCCTTCCTCCTTCCCTGGGGGTTGAAGATGGTGAACAAGAACACGAAATTCCATGAGTTAGGTAAAGGCGAAGAGAAAACAAAGGATTAGAAGAAAAATAAGTCTTCCTGGCAAGGTGATGACTCTCCTAGTCGGCCCAGAAAATAGATGCCATTTCTCAGCCTATCCTTTTTCAAATGTTGACTATTCAAAAACACTTATTGAAAGCGCAAAATGAAGTTGCTTACTCATGCCAAGAAGGAAGATCACTTCCTGGGCAAAGTCTTGTTAACACCTCAAAGGGAAGAGGCTTTAAGGTTTGGGGGTCTAGTTAAAAGTGGGTCTGTCTTACAGGAGCATGATTAGAATTGGGTAAGGATCACAGCATAATCCTGAAAGGTTGATGGACACAGGAAAGCAAAGGTTTTGTTTTGTTTTGTTTTGTTTTGTTTTGGACCAGGGATCGAACTTTAGGGGCACTCAACCACTGAGCCACATCCCCAGCCCTATTTTGTATATATATATTTTTTTATTTAGAGGCAGGGTCATACTGAGTTGCTTAGTTCCTCACTTTTGCTGAGGCTGTCTTTAAACTCTCAATCTTCCTGTGTTTGCCTGCCGAACCGCTGAGATTATGGGAGTGCACCATCATGCTCAGCAAAGCAAGGGTTTTTAGGGAAGGTGTCAAAGAGTGTTGGAAAGGAAATAGTTGTTTGATGTTAATTATTGAAAAGTTAAACAGTCATGAGTTCATTCAAATGGTTTTGAGGGGAAGTTCCTGAGGCGAGACACGTGTTTTCTGAAACAGTGATGTGCAAGTGGAAACAGTTTCTATTCTCACCTTCAACATAATCCTAACACACATGAAATATAATTTAGTGAAAATAGTTTCTAGAAGTAACACTATGCAGTCCTCTGACAGAGCTCTGTAATTCTGCTGAATAGGGGAAACACCCAAATTCTCCATCACTGAGAAGGAGCAGGATTTGAGGGTGAAGTCGCAGAGAGGCAGGGCATGACAGCTTCTGTGACTGTCATCAAGCCATGTCACCCTGGAACCTTGGGCCTATAGCATCAGCTGAGGGTGAGGGTCCCCTGCAGTGAGGTTGCCTAAATGACTCCTCTGTGGACAATGTGCCTCTGGAGTAGATCTGGACCTTGCTGTCTGCCACACTGGGCAAAAGGAAGTCATGGCAAGTCTGTCCTCTTGCCTGCCCCATCACCCACTCTGCTTCTTCTCCCCGGCTCACCCTGGCATGTGGCTGGTGACCTAGTCTCTGACTAGGGAATCCCTTGAGTGCTGTGCGTAAGGACAGCTGGAGCTTGAGTGGGAATAGTTCTGTGACCGTTGCCTGATAGAATCATAAGAATTTCAGGGGATCACAACAGTCTCTTCTCCAGGGCCAATTGATGGCAAGGCAGGGCGTCATGGAGCCTCTGACTCATCAGCACTCTCTTCCCCTCACTGGAGTCTCACAGCAACCTGGTAGGCAGGTAGTCTGGGAGGGCTGTGTGGTTCTCCCAACTCCCAGACGAAGACCCAGAGGCTCCAAGTCATGTCAGCTGGAAGCAGAGGGAAAGCCCTGGGATGGACAGCTGTGTCTTCTCATAGTCCTGGGCTCTTTTCTGGAGCGAGAATCTTCCCTGTGCAGTCATCCCTGAAATAATTGAGACAAAATTATTATATCTGGCTATGGCTTCACCAACATGCTTGAACCATAGAAACCTCTCGTTTTAATTGGAAATGTGCCTCATTGGGTTGCAATACACATGGCCTTTTTGTTCAAATATTTAAAAGCATGGATGATTTTTTTTCATTTTAAAAACAGTAATTTTCATTAAAAATCTTCTTAGTGGACTTATGGATTTTTGTGCTTCAGAAGGAAAGCCTTCCATCCATTCATGGGGGGAAGGTAACTTTATCTTAAACAAATGAACGGTCTTGGGGGAAGTCTGTGTCAAGGTCATGGTGGTGCAGTGTTTCTATGGGAGGATGGTCCTTCTTCCTCCCCAGGAAGGTAGACAAGTCCTGTGTTCCCAAGGTTTGAGGTTCTGCTTTAATAGGCCATCGCCATCTTTCCAATAAGCTACTGGGCCTCATTGTGTAAGAGCCTTGTTGTATAAAGAAAGAAGCAGAATGACCGCTTTTGTGTGAAAGAGCTGGCAAGGGCAGTACTCCAGAGGAAAGGGACCAAGACAGAATGTCTCAGGTGGCTAAGAGTCCACCACTGAGGGTGATCTAATAGTGGGTTCTGCTGTCCTCAAAGTGTCCTTATAGCAAGGCTAGAAGAGAGAGCACTGTGGGAAAACATTCTGATGTCCAAGGGCTGTGCTGAACCAAACACTTTCCCCTGTCCTTGTCCCTACCTCTGCCCCTGTCCCAGGGCAACCTAGCCTGCTAGTGCATCCTATTGAGGGTGAGAACTCTCAGCTCCAGTGTCCTTGTTCCTTACCCCACCTCAGCACCCCTGGTGACTCATAAAGGCCAGCAAACTGGGCCTGTATGGGGTGTATGGAATCCCATTTCCAAATCTGGAGGCCAGACAACCATTTGTGCACCCTGAGTCAGAAGCTAAGGGACTAGATATCAATATGGCAAAATATAGGGAAGTTGAAAGAATGCCCGCATGCATCTTTCCTCCCAGAGCACAGTTAAGAGAGCTGGGTCCTAGTCTCACAGAGCCCTTCTCCACAGCCCTCCCTGAAGAGATAGTGGGATGGACACTAGCTCTCCCCCCAAGACAGGCTGCAGCACCCTCGCAAATGCGGCTTTCCCCAGAAGATTCCACCTCAGACAATGATGAGCCTTGACACTCAGCAACCAGAGACAGGGACTTTACTGCCTTTCTTGCTCCCTAAGTCAGTAGCATCTTGCAGTGCCTGAAACTGGTTTCAGCCATCTGGAATTTTTAAATCCAGGTCCCTGCATGTGCTTGGGGCTAAGGGTAAGTCCTGGTGGCAGCAGAACATCTGAGAGGGAAAAGGACACTATTGCTGGGGAAACAAGGACTGGAGTTTCTCAGTTTCTGGGGGTGAGTGCAGAGTACATGTCCTCCAGTCACCCCTGCTTGGGCCCTAAATGGGATTGAATGACTTGTTTGACTATCAGGACATGACCAACATCCAGTAGTCTCTTAGTTACTGGTTTTCATAGTTCACAGTACACCGGATGTCCCTCCACTCCTGTGAGGCAAGGTGATGGAATGGGGGTGAATCTTGGCTGGGATATTGTGAGGATCACATGCATTTTTATTACAGTAAATTGAATTCTATAACATATAAGACACAAATAGTAAAATAATAGCTCCCCTACGTTGTCTGTGATATAACCCCAGGACCCGTGAATAAGTTTGGTTGTATGGAAAAGGGAAACAAAGATTACAGATAAAATCAAGGTTGCTAACCAATTGACTCCAGATTGGGAGAAGGTTGTAGCTCAGTTGTAGAGCACTTGCCTAGCATGCATGAGGCCCTGGGTTCCATCCTCAGCAACACACACACTACACACACACACACACACACACACACCAAGATTACCCTGGATTATGCAGGTGAGCCCAAGGGATTACAAGGGTCCTTAAAAGTGAAAGAGGAAGACAAAAGAGGAAGTCAAAGTGATATGGTAAGAAGGACTCAACTTGCCATTCAGCATTTTTAATGAAGAAAAAGATCACATCTTTTTAGTGAGCAATTTCTAGAAACTAAAAGAGCACAGAAATATATTCACCACCAGAAACTCTAGACAGGAGTTATTATAGTTTGGATATGAGATGTCCCACAAAAGCTCCAGTTAATGCAGGAATATTCAGAGGTGAAAGGATTACATCATGAGAGCTGCAGCCTAATCTGTCCACCCTCATTTGAATGGACTGACTGGATGGTAACTATAGGCAGGTGGGGTATGGCTGGAGGAGGTGGGTCACTGGGACATGCCCTGGAAGTGTGCGTCTTCCCTGTGGCCCGTTCCCTCCTTCCCTGTCTGTCTGGTTTCTGAGCAGTTTTCCTCTGCAGGGCCCTTCACTCATGATGTGCTGCCACCCTGGGCCCAGAGTTGGAGTTCACAATGTACAAGCCTGTGAAACCTTGAGCCCCAAATAAACTTTCCCTTCTTTAAGTTGTTTTTGTTGGGTATTTTCATCACAGAGATGCAAAACCTGACTAAAATAGGAGTATAGCCCGCCTGACACCTTGATTTTAGCCTAGTGAGACCCACGTTGGGTTTCTAGAAAATAAAACCATGTTACTTTATTCCACTGACTTTGTAGTAAGTTGTTATAGCAGCAATAAGAAACTACTATACCATATATCAACAAATCTTTGAGTAACAGCTCCACAGGCATGGAAAAAAGTTTCAGAGTTTACATATTTTTGCTCTAAACAAGGCAACCACTCTTGTTCTACTTTCTAGATTTCTCCAGCTTTTGTGTTAGAAGAAGAAAATGCTTTAAAAAAAAAAGTTCCCCCCCTTTGAAAAAAGCAACTTGAGGAATCTCAACCAGGTGGGAATGAGTGTGATGTTTTATTTTCTGCCAGTCACCACCTTTGCCCATTCTGTAATGATGCCTTAAAGGTTTCCCATAACTTACCCATCATATGCAGTGTCCAATCTAGTCTGGCTCAAAATTCCAAACTCATATCCAATTTAAGTCCCCCTTCCTCCCTCTCCCTGGGAAAATCAGATTCCAGCTAGAAACTTGAGGTGGGTGAGTGTATGGTCTGCTTTCTCTCTCTCTCTCTCTCTCTCTCTCTCTCTCTCTCTCTCTCTCTCTCTCTCGGCAAGTGGCTCTAGGTTGGGGCTTGGGAGCAGAGATGATGTTACCCTGACTCAGTTGGGATCTGTATAGTTTGCCAGTGTAGTGGCCTCATCATAGAAAGTCAGCAAGGTCTTCTTTGGGTTGTATCCAGCCACACTCTGTCCTTAGCTCCCCTCCCTGCAGCATCTCCTCAACACCTTATGCACAGCTCACGGGGCCCAAAGAAGTGCTGCTTGTGCCCTTAAGTCTTACAGATATTTGGGGTTTTATTTATTTAACAAAGAACACTTATACTGTTCCCAGTCATTTCCAAACATTAACTCCTTGGACTTCATAGCAGCACCTTCAGGTCAGAAACAGTATGGTGGTGGCAGAAAGATGATAGAGAGGGAATTACCCAAAGTCTCTCAGTTCGTGAACTGTGGAACAAAGAAGAGCTGGGATATATATATATATAAACAGTGGAATGCATTACAATTCTTATTACACATATAGAGCACAATTTTTCATATCTCTTGTTGTGTACATAGTATATTCACACCAATTTGTATCTTCATACATGTACTTTGGATAATAATGTCCATCACATTCCACCATCATTAATTACCCCTTGCCCCTCCCTTCCCCTCCCACCCCTCTGCCCTATCTAGAGTTCGTCTATTCCTCCCATGCTCCCTCTTCCTATCCCACTATGAATCAGCCTCCTTATATTAAAGAAAACATTCCAGCATTTGGTTTTTGGGGATTGGATAACTTCACTTAGCATTATCTTCTCTAACTCCATCCATTTACCTACAAGTGCAATGATTTTATTCTCTTTTATTGCAAAGCTTGGATTTTTAAGGAACAATTTATTTTATATGTTTTGTTTTACTGGTAGGCTTTTTTTTCCCCTGTGACCCAGATAATGTGTGCTGAGGACAGATTCAACACAGATGAAGACAGAATCTTCCTTGCCTCCAACACCTGCCACTTTGCTCCTGGCTTGAACCACTGTGCCTGCTTTCTTTCCAAAACAAATTCCCTCCCAGAAGTCTCCTCACCACTTAAAATAAGCCATCATCAGACAACCTTACCAGCTCATCAAGGACCCAATCCCCCCACAGTGTGGGAAAGCTGCAGAAGTGACAGAGGGAGACGTTGTCCCTGTAATCTGAGACAATGCTTAGAGTTTAGCTTTGATTTCTTTCTTCTTAGGCAAGATTGTTGGGGAATCCAGGATCTCTGAGTTGATGGAGACCAGTCTCCAAAAGCTCCTGCATCTCCTCTACCTGATCAGAGAGCTGGGGTCTAACCATAGAAGGAGCACTTTGCCAAAGAGAGAAATTTTTACCTTTCTTTCTTCTCTCTGCTCTCTACTGAGGAAAAAGCCCAGGTATGATGCAGTTAAGCAGAAGACACATGGGAGCATCAACCTAATCTTATCAGGAGGAGGATGGAGGCTGGCCCTGTAGGTTTCCTTCATAGCAGTCAGTACCTGGGGGTAGGGTGGAGCTGCTGCCAGCTCAGTCCTAGGCCCCTGTCCAGCTCCCAAGCCAGCAGTGACAAGGGCCATCACAGACTCCACAAACAGGAAGGTGGCTGACCAAGCACCAAACTATTCAGACAACCACTGGCACAGGGCAAAGGCAGCCTCCTCTGTCTTGCCCTGCTCTCCCTCGAGGGTTTGGGCTGATTTCTTCCAATGCTAATGAACAGCTCATAAGTACTACAAAGTCCTTGCCACCTGCAGGCCAGACAGAATTACTTCCAATGTGCATATAGGCCAAGTCTAGACCTTGATGGAGGAGCTAGACTTGGATTTTGCTAGCCTACTGTTGAGACATGCATACCAGCTCAGGTCGTTCCCAACAGCTGGCTTATCACACCCAGCTGAGGCCTCTCACACATCTTTTTCTAGGTCA